AGGATAGCTACTCCGCGGTTTTGGCACCGGAACTTGGACAGGGTGAACAAGAGGAATTTATGGCTTTATCCCAGCAAGAAAGACGAGATGTACTGACCATTTACGATTGGGTTATAAATATTTTCCTTGACAGAAGAGCTATGCCAATACCATCGACTTATCGCACACTAGAGGAGTGGGAAAGTTTCTTCAGTGAAATTGGATTTGATATCTTGTCAAAACGATTCATTGGATGGCCAGTAGGAGAGCCTACTTCCCCTCAAGGATTGTTGGTTCTCGAAAAGCCCAGTACTAATGACTGATAAGTAACAATTCCAGCAATAAAATCGACACTAAGCAATCTTATCCGTCTTGACAGAAATATGCTAATGGCCCATGACTACCTTTTTTGACTTTTTTGATTTGGAGACTGCAATCCTATATATTTCCCATAATAAAATAAAGTATCTTATTCAGGAAAAAGAGACTTCACCTATGCGTGTGTTTCTGTATGGTTCCAGTTAAACCACCAGAGTGTGAGTGTTGGTCTTGTCTTCACTCATACCCACATCGTAGTAACAGTGCTAAATTTCAGGTTATAAATGGTAATGTTCATCAAGTCGATCTGCTAGATCGGTTCTCGAATATTTTACAAAAACAGTAAAGGGCTCAACATCATCTTTTTGTACTGAAGATTCTACAGAACAAATTGTTTTATCGATTTTACTGATCTTTCAACAAGTGTCCGAGATAGAAACGAGGAAATATCCTCTATAACATAAGTTTCTTCCAATGTTGATATAACATTTTTGTCGAATATTAATACTTTGCCGGGAAATTATGATGAACTAGAATTCAATCTAGAATTCCTGACATTTCTGATAAGTCACCAAATACAAATAGTTCAATATCATTATCACAAACTACGAATTTATTCACATCAAATTCATTTAGTCAAATAGAAATACTTGTTCACAATGAGATTGGTACCGTTGTAATGTGTCTATATCATATTATGCCATTGGAGAAGATAATTAATCTTCATGACAATCGATAAACGATCATGCCAAACAAAGATAGTTTATGGATTATACTTGGTTAACATTCTGTAAAGTGAATTTTACATATAACAAATGTGATTCAAACTCAAATTAAAATTTGAAAATAATTCTTTTAATGATTCACAAAAAAAAATTAATTGATCATTCGTGTCTTGAAGCATTTCAACGTGAAATTCATCTTGATAAAATGAAATTGCATCCTTTCTCATAGGAGTTTTAGAGCTGATGGTGGGCATGAGCGCCATCTGTTCTTCAGAGGCACATCTGAACTAACATCCCCATATCCTCAATAAAAGCCTATTTTGGGATTGGTGTACAATGCTAAATACATGATTTTTGCATTTTTTTTGAAAATTTTTTTCTATTTTGGAGGATTTAGAAACTTAGTCAGTAAAGACTAGCATGAGATAGCGCAATATTTTTCCTGACAACAACCCAGGTGCAAAAATCGTACGAGGATCATATAAGATCTTATACGATCTTACTGACAATTAGATTTTGTAAGATTCAGATTGTATGATCTTACGAAATCTTGCAAATTTCTTGTTCTAAGATTTAATATGATTCTTATTATAAGATGCTGGCGTCAATCTGATATGATTCTTGATATAAGATTCTTGCAAGATCTGAGGATGGGAGTCTTGTTAGATATTGTAGGATCTTGTCAGACCATAATTTTAAGATATTTCTCATGCAAGCTAGTTTTTATAACGATAGGTTTATAGATGTAGATTACTACACGTGTTTAAGTGATGGAATGCTTCCTAATAGAAATATAATTTCTTTTTAAATTGCAAATACACGTTTTGTATGCAGCGATGCTTATTATAAAAACAGCACACTACTAATCAATCTGATTTGACTTGATTAAGTTTATTATTGTTTTGAATTTTATCTCGTTAAATTCATTTTATCGTTTATTCTTATTGAAAAAAACATTTTTTGTATTTGTTTGTAAAACTGTAATTAATAATAATTCTCTAGTGTAGAGGACACGTAAGCTGACAATGGCTAATATAGTCTATATATATGAGCGAGAGACCGTTACATTCGTCTTATATTCTGGTATGGTGGAAGAAATTGCACGTCATATATTTTTTCAAAAATACAACTAGGCTTTTTATATTAATTTATAATTCTTCAAAATTATCCAGTTTTGTTTTAGATATTTGAAATTCGTATCGATCTTATTTAGTCTTTTTGGTTTCATCGACTGAATTTCGATATTTCCGGGTTTATTTTGACTCAAACTAATGATGAAAAATATTATTTTATTTTACTTTCAATCAATGTGAAAGGAGTTAGTTTCATTTGATGTATATGCTTAACTTATTTCAGTTAAGTTATAATTAATCTAAGAAGATTATCTATTTATAGTCAAAATAAAATGAAAGCAATTTAATACAACTATACTTGTTTTACGACAAAATAGATTTACTTGCATAAGATTATTTATTTGATAGTCTGGGAAAATAAAATAAATTCAAAGTGAAGAGATTTATCTTACTTGAAATAAAGTTAAACTAATAGAATTATTGCATTTATATATTTTTTAATACAAAATTAATATTCAATTTGATAATATTATTTAGAATTTACATTATACGGAACTAAATTAACCTAATTTTATCATTTTATTTTATTTCAATTGAAATAAAATTAACATACTAGATTTTTTCTACAATTGAATTAAATTATTTTATCTGATCATTTCAACTAACACAAAATAAATATAATAAAATTATTCATTTATGATTAAAATAAAATCAAGGAAATCTTATCCAATATAATTTGGTTAAAACCGTTTTCCAAACTACAACTTTGTAATTAATTAAGTCCATTTCAATATCGAACTCTACTCTATATACTAGTGGTCGATTATTCGAGGACGAGCTTAAAATTAACATCAAACCGAACTGTGATCTGTTTTTGATAAAATTACGCATTACTCATTGCATGTTTTCATGTAGAAATGATAAATATTTTTTTTATTTAAAGATAAATTTAGTCTAAGACGAAGTAAAATGATAAAAATTTCGCGATAAATGTTTTCTCTTGAAACAAAGAGTTTGAAGAAGGTAACTCAGCCTGTTGAAAAATCAGGTAGAGGTGATGAAAAGTGCAAGAATATCAATCATGCGATGCATCCTATAGTTGTATAGAAGCATGTATGAATAATGCAAGATCTTATCAGATCATACAATAAGATCATATAAGAATCGTACAGTACGATATGATCAGATGTGCAGGCTTTACGACTATCTTATAAAAATCATACAAGATCGTATATGACTTTCATACGATCTTATAGGATCATATAAGATTTCACAGTAAGATCTTGTAAGGTATTGCAATATCGCACAAGATCTTATTGTCGGATTCTTCGACCTGGGAACATAACTAAATAGTCTGAACCGGTTTATCACCTCAAATTCGTAAATTTACCTCATGTTCCTGTGTGAGAATTGTGCCAAAGTCATATAAAATACAAAGAGCTACCAAAGATAAACTTGTGGTCGCTACCCCGACTAAAACAAGTCATCATTATTCTTGTACAATCTGATAGCTCTAACTCATGAGCTAGATAGTTATACGAGATGGTCAAAAGGAAACCTAGTTATACTTGGTTTTTTCATATAAACTTTTAAAATATTTCCACTAACTGAACTTTATTTCTTTTTTGTAATAAAAATAAATCAATGTAAATCTTTTGCAGAGAAATACATATAAAAATTTCAAAACACAAATTCATAGAATAGTATAATTAAGTGTAGGACAAAATTTATTTAAACGATTGACATGACATATAGCCATAATGTCATTGGATCTTGATCATTAATAATAAAGTGAATTTCTGTAATAACAAAATTCAACTTACGTCGAACATCACATTCATAATTCATCATATCATTATTTTCTTCATCCCTGCCTATACCAATAACAGTTGTTTTTTTCCAATTTTTTGAAGTTTTAGAGCTAGAGCTTTTGTTTGATCGCTTTGTTGCATCATTTTAAGAAAATCTTCATCCGTAAATTGATGCCAGTAGTATTGTACAATCTTGATCCTCTAGACGTTGTTGGTGTTCGATCAATAGGCCAGATATTACTTCACATAGAGTATCGATGGCTTGAACCACAGGTATATTATTTTGTTTTTATTCTTTCGGTTCTAATAAAAAAAATTGATGCTGTTGATAGATAGTCATCTAGATTTACCTTTCAACACTATGGATGAGGAATTATCAATCTGTTTTCATGTTAGTTTGAACATAAGTGTGGGTGTAGGTGTGTCTTTTCTTCCATAAAACAAACAGCCATCTCCACACATGCACACTTCTCTACACTCACACCCACAATAGCATAAATATGAAAGAGATTCTCAAAAGTGAGGGCATATGTTATCCAATAAGATTAAACATTCAAATATCTAAAGAGAAAAGAAATATATCAAACTGTATAAAGTATGATTTTTTTTTTCGACTAACTGGTTCTAATTAATGTAGCACATTTAGTATATAGCAATTTTTCTTACAGCACACGGTTTTTAAATTATTTGAGAATTAAAATCAGTGTAAGTTATTAGATCAAATTTAAAAGTAATGCTCACTTTACAACTGTGTGTGCATTTTCGACATTTGTTTTAAGTAGATCATAGCGTATATTAATAGTTGTTCGACAAATCAAGTGGAAAAAAAACTATATGAATAAGAGATTTCTTATGTATTACTGAAAACAACTAAGATTCTTTAATCCACTAGGAAACTGACAGACAAATCATTGTTCTGAACAGTTCTCATGTATTACTTTTACAGGAAAATAATGTATCCGCATTCTATCTCGAGTTTTCTCATACACGAGGGTTTATTGATTGAACTCGAACTTAACATAGAATAACTTCATTTTAATGTTAATTGTTAATAAATGAATTTATTGTATTGATAAATTTCACAGTTTGATTAGTTATTTTTTTGTCGAGGACACGTAAATAAGTTCATAGGGTGAACTTGCAAAACGTTTCTGCACGTCGTTGATAACTTTCCATTTTCCCACATCGACAATTAGTACATGTGCATCATGACCAAACATAGAAAAATTATCGTCGTACGAAAATACAATTTGATTCTTATCTACATCCAATACTCTTCCAGTCATTACTGCAACTGATGTTGGTTGTTCAATGTCCAATTGTTTATTGACACGACAAGTTCTATCTAGTTGTTTTATGGTTAAATTACTTATTGTAAAATCAGATGGAGCTTTTCGCCAATTATAAATAGTATAAAACTGTTCATTGATTACAAATAAATTATTCAAATATGGATTAGAATCAAGTTTGCAAACTGTTTTAATCATTAATGTTTTCATTTCAATTCCGATTAATGCGGTTTCTGTACGGTAATATAAAATATTTTCCAAGATATCAAATGTGCTACCCACTTGTGGTTGTCCTTGTGATGTGAGATCGATTAATTTCCGTAATGTTAATGTATTTTGATCGACTTCCCATAATAAACTCAATAAATCATCGCGTGTGGTACCAATAGCAAACAAATGTTGATTGTTGAAATCAAAGTGTAATGCTGTCAAAGTAATATTGTAAAATTGACCTTGCTGTGTTTCATTTGTTTGTATATTGTGAAGCATTAAACAAGATAAATTTGGCCGTGGTGGATACGTATTCCAACTTGTGAATAGTCGATTTCGTCTTTGATCAACGGCAAAAACAAATTGATTATATGTCCATAAATTTTTATCGGGAAACTCAGGATCTGGTATAAAATCATATTCCATTAATAATTTATCTTCCATTGACATCGGATTGTACACATTTATTTTGAAATAATCATACGAAAGGAATATTGCAAATGTACCCGATATTATAACGTGAAATAACAAGAAAAATTTTACCAGTAAATACATCGCAAAAATAAGTAGATTATTAATATTTATGTTACAAACTGGTTGTTTTAATCTATCTTACATGTGATGTCTATTTTTTTAAACAATTGCAAAAATATTCAAGATAACAGGTGACCATTGTATTTAAAGATATATTATTCTTTTTGTTTCATCATAGTAAAGGTAAGAATGTAGCTGTTTCACGTTATGATGTACGTCATATTTTCTCTAGAAGAATTATAAAGGTGACGTGAATAAAAAGATTGACGAAGAAAGAAATTAGTATTCTGATTATTGTTTTACTGGCAAACCCGTCAAACATCGTTTGCTACGTATAGTCATTTACTTTCGTAAAGTACTCATCTGACTCATTCAGTATAAATTAGGTCTAGATATACCTTAATTCTATTTAGTAAAAAGTGAACGTGATTTTAAATCTATTGAGTTTTTTTTTTGATGCTACAATCCAAATATTCAAAACTATGAGTTTTCATTTTGCGTCAAACAGTATGGTTGTGTGAGTGTGGAGCAGATTAATGCCCATACATGCACTTACATCCGCACCCCGTCTACATTCACGACTCACAGTTACACGCGCCCATATCATCTGTGTGAGATTAGAGAAAGTCTAAAAAGCTACGTGGTAGTAGGCGGTTGCAACTAACTGATGATGCTGAGTGCGTGGTTGTGGATGTGAATCTTCTATTCTCGCTAACCTACACTGAAATTTACGCACAACACTTATCATCATGAGACATGCTCTGCACTGAGAGTTAGGAATAGCACAAAATTTTAAAGAAATCTCTAACAAGTGTTCTCCACATTTATGATCCCATTTCCTTTTCAAGACTAAATTTTAACTGTTTCATGAATATTTATGGAGAAGACTGTCGTAATATGTCTCTTAAGCAAATATTAACCAACGCATTGCTGTAACAGTACGAAGATAAGCGACAAATAGTGTTTTTACTTCGTTGTTTTATGTTTTTCAGATACAGTCAAATACACACAATGATGAATACGGCAATAGTTTCTATACTTCTGTTGATTTTATGTATTACAGTAACTCAGCAAAAAGAATATCAATGTAAGCCAAATGCACCATGCGGTTGCTCACTGAATTCAGCCTCAGTTAATTCTCGTATTGTCGACGGAGAACCAGCGACTGATAATACTTGGTCGTGGGCTGCTCTTATAAATATCAACAGCGCTATATGTGGCGGCAGTATCATTTCTGATTCATATATAATGACTGCTGGTCATTGTGTGAAAGATATTAAAGCTTCTAAAATTACCATTTATCTTGGCTCAACTGGAAGCTTTCAAGGTCAGCGTCGATCAGTGTCACGTATCTATTTGCATCCTCTCTATCGTGAGGATCGGTTAACAGGACATGTTCTGCATGATATTGCTCTGTTGAAACTGTCAACACGCCTCAACATGACCAGCGAAACATTAGTAAAAATCTGTTTGCCACCTAAAGATTCGCAAGTTTACGAAGATACAAACCTAATAGCGATTGGTTGGGGCGCTAAGGATGCGGGAAGTATTTATGGATCGGACACACTTCAGCAGGTGACTCTAAAGGCTGTCTCGATAAATGATTACTGGTGTAAACGAATTACTATCAATACAACGGTCCAATTCTGTGCCGGAATAATGCCATCAGGTGGAAAAGGTGCGTGTATAGTGCTTATGTTTTTGCTATTTCTCAAAAGAGAGGATGAATATTAGTAGCCGAATATATCAGATATTCCAAGTTGGGTTTTTCTTCCTCTTTTCGTAGACACATGTCAAGGTGATTCAGGTGGTCCTTTAATGAACTTCAATAACAACAATCAATGGGAAGTAGTTGGTATTGTCAGCTATGGTGACGGTTGCGCTAAACCATTGAGCCCGGGTGTCTACACACGAGTTGCTTATTATTTGGACTGGATCAATAAGACCGTTGAGAGTGATCCTAGTCCTAACACTGGAGCCAAACTGTTATCAACAGCTACCAACAACGGACTGTTTATTTTACTTATATACTTTATCTTTTTTGTCTCGCTCAACTAAATTATACTTTTTTTCGTGTCTAATCTCTCTATACTACTTGATTTTAGTCAGGACGCTTTATTTTCAAGTCCTCAATACTGAAATAGTCCTAAGGGTGTGGGTGTGAGTGCCGGTATGGATATGGGTATGGGTACGAGAGTGGATCTTTTGTTCCCCTACATCCATACCCACACACCAGAGATGGAACCGGTACTGGTTACCAGCCGCTCCGGTACCGATCTGGATTTTGGATCGACCGGTCTACCGGTCCAAACCGGTCTATACTTTTCACTTTCCTGCTCTATGATTGTATTCAAGGTACGAAGGTAACCTACCAAAGAGTTCACTGCACAAGATTTCATTTTAAGCTTCAGCCTGTTGTCTGTAGATCGATATTTTATCGATAGGTCGGGTTTTCCTGATAAACTGGCGTATCACCAGTATCCTGTCACTATCGGTAGACCGGTTTGGACTGGTAGACCGGTTTAGACCGGTAGACTGGTCAGTATCGGTAGACCGGTTTAGACCGATAGACCGGTCTAGATCGGTAGATCGGTCTGGACCGGTATACCGGCTGGTCCGGTCTACCTTTCTTCAGAACCGCACCGGTACCGGTCTGAAAAAAGGTAGACTGGTTCCATCTCTGCCACACACTCAAATAGAGGAGTTTAATGCTTTAAAAGATTTTCAATTAGCAGCTACTGCATATCATTGGGATGTCCATTTGACATCGAGACCGAAAATAAAATTATGGTCAACCGAAAAATAAAAACTGTCGGATCTTGTACAAACGCATAGAACTTGATTTACCTCCAAAATTTATTTCAAAAATTGATTTTCCGTTTAGACCTGATGATTCAATTATTGATCAAGAGGAGGTACAAAAGTTTTATAATCGAATGCGTGAAATAACATCTAATTGTTGATATTGAACCGATTGATTAAAAACTGAATTATTGAATAATATCTTGAAGAAAATATTCTCAAACATTATTTGTTCTTCCTTTAATTTTTGTTCTGCAAACAATCAAAAAAAAATATTGATGAAATAAAATTACATCAATTGTTGTTAAACAATTACAAAAAACAAATCATCATTGTCTATGCTAAATATTTTAACATGCTGAACATTAGAATGAGTTTCAATGGAGGATAATCCTCTAGCATATCATGAAGTAACATATTTTTCTCCAAGGATAAGGAGAAGTCCAGAAACCTTTGCCCTATTTTCGGTCATATTGTTTATGTTTCTTCAACCTATCAAATTCTATTCTTGTTATAGACTAATGGGCAAAAACAATTTAAAAGACGATGATGATTTAGATTCGACTTATCGATTATTATTGAGTGTAAATGTGAATCCTTCGTACGCCACATAAAACAAATATTGAAGGAGTCTGATTTCCGGTAGAGTACCAGGAGAACGTAAGAATCCATGTCTCAAAACTGTCATTAATATGGTCACTAACATCTTGTCCAAATTCGACACTGTAGCTGAGAATCCGGCTGAGCCTCTAGGTTCTTTCTGAAGTACAGATCGAAGCTGAGGCCAATTATTCAATCACAACTGAAACTGGAAGTGAACTGGCGATTTAGATCAACTGTTCGTCTGAGACGAAAGCTAAGACCAGTGAATCGACTAAAACTGGTGAGGTCAGAGATGGAGCCAATACGAATGTTGATCTCAGGTCAGTCGGTCTGTCGGTAGTCCAATATTTACGAGTCAGAGGAACATTTACCGGTCAGACTACACTGTAAAAAAAAGAGTAGCATCATAAATCTTTAAAGAGCTTATGAAAGTGGATAGTATAATCAATCTTTTAAGGATTACAAAGATCCAATACTCTTTCATAAACTGATTTAGAAGGGTTTTTGAAAATTTCACATACACTAAAAGTGTTTATTAAACATTGTAGCTACACAAGTCCTTTAAGAATTTACGCTTCTACGCTTCTTTTTTCGCAGTGATCAGCCGTTCGCTAAGCTTAAATGAAAGAAATAAAATAATTTTATAAATATATCCTTACCGTTACATGTGTTCCTTGAATACATCTAAATTTAAAAACAAAAGATTTCATTTGATAAATCGATGCTTACTATTGAATCTCATATCAAGATTGAGGATGTTAATCTATCTTATTGTTCATGATAAGAAAGAGTAAATATAAATAACAAAGCCTGTACATTCACCCTCTTTTGAGGCTGAAACGTGGAACTCACATAGTTTTTTAGTTTCATTATACTAATAGAATGTACATTAGGTAAAATATCTTTAGCAGACTATAATTGTTGTTCAACATAATTAGCCTCGAGACAATCGATATATTTTATTTGTTTCTGCATTTCGAATAAGATCTTCTTTTCTTTTTTATATACTGACGTTTTTTTGGTTTTCTGTTGGAATGATAGCTATTCGCTCGTTTTTTTCTTTTACGTATTTCGTTTGACTTATTTTAAAATTGTTATTATTCTGAAGATTATATTAATTGACGAATAAGCTTGTTGTAAAGATTCATTATGCCAACATTAGCATTTCTCGACACCCTATTATATTTATCTAGTTAAGCTCACAAACTCTGATATTGATTATTTTTCAAAGTTATGGATTGATCAATTGAGATACTTTGTGGTGATTTTTTGATGATTGGCAAATTAATTTATCATTGCACATCATTGTTTAATATATGCAAATATCAAAATATACACTATTTAACATACTAAAAAATTTATTAGAACCACTTAAAGTTCGAGAGAAACTTTAAAATGTTCTGGAACAGTCAAAGTCTTGTTATTTGATATTATTTAACTCCTCTTTCCATTGGTAAGGAACTCAAGAGAAGAGTCTGAAACCTGTTATCCACGATTGTTGAAGTTTGTAA